GGGATGAGGATGGATATCTGGAAATACTTTGAATGTAGATTGAATAAGGATAAAGGGATGGATGAGGGAGTGGGAACATTCTCTTGCAGCATCTTTATGAATTTTTGGAAGTCTTCAAGAGTTTCTGGAAGGGAGTTGGGTAGTTAGGTCTCAGAACAAATGTTCTCTTGAGAGGAAAAGGATAGAAATTCAAGGAGCTGAGGAAGAGGAGGGTGTAGGAGAGGATGTGGTAGGCAAAGATGCAGTGGAATGTTTAAGATGCCTAGTGCTACAGTGGAGTAGGCATCAGAAAAGTGGTAAATATATAAGTATCTGGATTTAGACTGGGGGAGAGGGGGAGTAGGGGTAGGATGATTCAGGGTAGAGGGAAGAGATACTTGGGAAGATGCTGGGACATCTTTAGAAGATGGGAGGGGAGCAGAAGAAAGGACAGTTTTGGAATACATAGAGAGAGAAAAACCTTGTCACCATGCCTCCTGGCTGGCCTCACATAGAGTGAGGCCTAGTTTGAATCTGAGAACTGCCACCGCACATTCAAGCTTATAGGCAGGGCAGCTCCTATAAAATACATGGGAGTCACCACAATTGACACATTTATGTGACTGAGCAGGACAATTTGAATGGTCATGAAAAGGTTGGGCACAGAGAAGGCAGCAGGCTGTGGAGCAAGTGTTTGGCTGGATGGCCAAAATGCCAACATTGACCAGGAAGGGGGTCAATATGGCCAGACAGGTCAGGACACTTCAATATAAATTTTATGGGAGAGATCATGTCTATGGAATCTAATCAAGGCAATACTGGTGTAAGACTTACACTGTCTTCTGGAAGAATAGTGCAGCACTATAAGGCCACTGAATCATAATCGATAAGGCAGGCAAGTAGGTAGTTTTTAGTCTGACCAGTTCTTGTAGATAGGAACAGTTCAGTTCAGTTCAACAATTTTGACATACCATATGTCAGCGCTATGCAGAACAAGATGGGTTGGGCTTCACACCTAGGCATTGCAGCTACCTTACTTCCTGGCTTAGCACCTTCCTTGCCAACCCAAGACTTTCTCTTCCGGCCCTTCGTCATGCCTGGAAGAATGGACACCCAAAGAATAGAGTACGAGGCACCTCCGCCAGCAGGAAAAAGGAGTCGCTGGATATAAGGACGTCTCGTCAGGCAGAGAGGGGGAGCACCAGAAGCAAACGAAGACCTAGCAGAGCAGGCACAAGGCTGGAGGTCACTCTCCTCGCCTCCGCCCTCGGGGCGCGGGACCACTCTCAGGGTCCTCACCTTACCTCCCAATAAACCAGCAACCCAAGACCCCTTTCATTCACCACCACCTCCACGCCCCCAACTTCTTACGCTGACACAGACTGATGCCTCCTATGTACCCAACTCGTTCATAACAGATCAAATTGCCCTACCCAAACACGCACATGTGTTAAATGCGGCGGCCCCCATAATATATTTTATATAGGCTGTCCCACTTACAAGTTCGAGTCTGAGTGACCTGCCCTGTACCTGCTCTGCTAGGTCTTGGTCTGCATCTGGTGTTCCCCCTCTCTGCCTGATGAGACGTCCTTATATCCAGCAACTCCTTGTCCTGCTGGCAGAGGTGCCTCCGTACCATATTCTTTGGGTGTCCATTCTTCCGGGCATGACAAAGGGCCGGAAGAGAAAGTCTTAGGCTGGCAAGGGAAGGTGCGAAGCCAGGAAGTAAGGCAGCTGCAATGCCTAGTGTGAAGCCCAACCCATCCTGTTCTGCATAGCGCTGACAGTCTGTGGAGCAACAGTGTTTGGCAGGATGTCCAAATTGCCAAAATTTTGACATTGACGGGGAGGAGGTTGGTATGGTTGAACAGGGAGGGATTGTCCACCAGTGTAGATATGAACGGGAAGGTCATGTGTACTGAAAGTAATTATGGCAATGTTGGCGGGTTTCTTTTGATGACCTCTAGGAGGAATGGAGTAGCAATGTACTGATATCACCTGATCTTTGAGGCAGCTGAGCAAGTCTTCACAATCTCACCAATCTTTGGTATCGACTGGGCAGTTTGCTGGGGAGATAGAGACAGTTCTGGTACAAGTATTAAGAGTTGGATGAGGTTCTGCAGGGATGGGATTGCTAGAGAGATCAGTTAGTTTTGATAATGCTATAGCTTCAGCTTCAGATTTGACTGTTACAAGACGGGAGTGATCACGTTGGGTACGGAAAGGGACTCTGCCTACGTGTTTTTGGAGACATTGTTGAAAGAGAAGAGTGTTGCCTGAATAAGGAGCTATAGGGGGGATCACGAAAAATCAGTCCCATTTAGCTGGGCTAAATAGAGTAGTTAAGATATTTGTAGGGTTGGTGGTGGTAGAAGGACTGGGGGCCGTGTGGAAGCAGGAGTGTTGTTGAGGGGGTAGTATTACGGAGAGATGGAGAAAAAGGCTGTAAGGTAGTAATAATGCAGGTCTTTGATGAAGAAAGTTGTAGGGGTAGAGGTGATGAAGTTGAGGAAGTTGGGAGAGTAGGAATGTCTTCTGGAGATTGAGTCTCAGCTTGGGTGGGTAGTAGTTTCAGTGTTCGGAGTCGTGGTCAAAGGAGAGCCTGGAGTCGGGGAGCCAGTGGGGCTATTTGATGAAGAGGCAAGCCTCAATGTCCCTAATAAGGGTATTATTACATCTTCATTACTGGCCATGGGAAGCCTTGATTATGTAAGGAAAATAGACTGTCCACCCCCCAGTGCTCTGTATGGGGGTAAGGCCTAGACAACTAAATCAGTGAGATACCGTGCCCATGGTCCCCACAGGCCGTTCATGACTGGCACAAGATCAGCCTTTCATCCTTTCAGCACGGCTCTTACACCTTAGGAAGTAGATGGTAGAAGGGGTTGGAGAAGGGACGGAAACGAAAAGCTGGAGGGGGAAAATGTT